CCAGTAAGTTGTACGTCTCTGTATTTCCACCATCGTCGCGCCACATCAGGGAACGACACCCAGCAGTGGATGTGGCGCTGTAATTCCAGCATTTACTTACCATATCCATTACACAGTATTACTGGGCCCCAGTCCATGTATTCTCTACAATCATTCTTGCCTATGTTTTACATGCTTTTACAATTGTAGGGGGGACAGATGCCAGACTTATATTGTTAGCTTAGCTAGGCATCTGTCCCCCAGTTTTTTGTGCCAAAACATAATAAATCAATAAATTCATAGTTTCTTTTGTTGTCTCTGCATAAACTAAGATTTTTTTATTTCAGTCTGTCCAAATATTTCAGTAATTCTCTTCTTTCTCATGGAATTTTCCTCTTCTGTCTGATCTTAAAGGGATGATTCCATTTCACAAGAATAGGATCAGGTAATTCATTACTGCATGGGTCCTGTCTCTTCATAGAAACGCTGAAATATGCAAAGAATGATATAATGGGAACTTATGTATGAATTAAATTGAATGGTATTGCTGGAATGAAAATCATTGACAATGATTATATTTCTATGTTTAAAGAATTATTACTGCTAGAGTAATTTGCAATATTAAAAGGTTGGCTTATTGTAATTTTTGTGATTTTGAAACTAAAATTATATCTAAAAACCTGTAACAAAATATCTAAGTGAGAGGACAACAGTTTCAACCAGATGGTACTTCAATATAAATAATGGAAGATTTCGATCTACACTAACCGAAAAAAGATCACTGTCATATACTGAACAACAAAAGTTCCTGTGATATTGAATAAGATTTAATGCAAAGTTATGTTTTTCACCAAATCTCCAACAATTTCAGTTGGCAACAGATAAAAGACTCTCCTGTAAGTGTTCAATTAGTTTAGTTTGCCATACTGACTTCAGAAAATGCGTTATGTTATAAAAACATGAACATGCCAAAATGTCAATTTACAAATCAATAGCTTGTGTGTCCACCTCTGGTTGCGATGCAAGCAACACATCTTCGTTTCATGGTATGGACCAGGCATCGCACAAAGTCTTGTGGGATATCTGTCCACATCTGCTCGAACATGTTTCGAAGTTCCTGGAGTGTCTGTGGAAGAAGTGGTTGACATCCAAGGCGCCGATCCATCTCATTCCACATGTGCTCGATTAGTGAGAGATCAGGGGAGCGAGCCAGCCAGGGAATGACATTCACGTTGTTTTGTTGAAGAGAATCCTGAACATGTCAAGCAATATGAGGCCGTGCGTTGTCATGTTGAAAGGTAATGCCTGGGCCATGATGACGCAAAAACGGTTTATGAGGGCCGATGATTGCAGTAGTGCTGTCCATTGAGGTTTCCCTCTACCACTATCAAACGGGTCCTATTCTTGCTGTAATCCCACCCCATACCATAACGCTGCCACCCCCGAACCGATCTTCTTCCATGACACAATGATTGACATAACGTTCACCTCGACATCAGTACACTCGAATCCGTCCATCGCTGTGGCTGAGATGAAAACGAGACTCGTCAGTGAATAGAACTTGTCCCCAACGCATGGCCGTCCAGCGTAGATGTTGTCTGCACCACTGTAGACATGCTTGATGGTGGTTTCCTGTCAAAATGGGAAGTCTGTTGGGTCTTCTGGCGACAATCCCTGCACATCTGAGGCGACGACGTAAGGTTTGTGAAGATATTCGTCGAAGGCCAGGGATGCTTCTTGCAGTCACCGTTGCTGGCTTGAATCGATTTCGTAGATGTGTTGTTCAAATCGAGTTGTCTTGTCGATTATTTGTTACTCATGGCCTGCCACTCCGAGGATGGTCTATGAATGCATTCGTCTGTTGCTAACGTTGCCATAAACACCTAATGTAGTTTCTGTGGAAGTTAAATTGTCTTGCAACATCACGTTGACTCGATCCTGCTTCAAGCATACCAATGGCTCGCAGACACTCATTTTCGGACAGGTGTGGCATTTCGCAATGTTGAATAATTGCATAATTTTGTTGTTTTTCTGAGTGGTTGTTGTCAACACGATGCTAAACAATGCATATGGAATCCTGTTAACGCACATGTTTTTATACCCATTCTTGGGTTGTGAAATGCATGGGACTTGCATAAAAGTCAACTTTTGCATGGAATGCATACTCTTCTGTAGCAGTTACGTTTTTGTGACTTGATTCAATACATGTACTACAATATTGAAAATCAAACTTTACTTGTTTGAAAAATACACTAAAATATTGGTGTCACAGGAACTTAAAATTTTGTTGTTGAGTATATTTGTTTACAGTGTGTCACGGTCATCTTGCATGTCTCATTTCATCAATATAACCTGCTTACTCAATGCCCGATGTTGCAAAAATACATAATTTAAAAATGATTTTGTAGTTACAAGCTTTAATCTTGGCTATTACATGCGTAAAATATTAACTTGCTACGTGGTCTCATTTACTCGTATTGAATTTGTATTTGTGCAAAATTGCGAAAATTTGTTCAAATTCTCACCTTTGAGCAGGCGTAGGCCCCGTGGAAGATAGTGGCGTCATTTAACGGATGGTGAGGCCTACCGCACACCTTTCTCAGCCTCAAAAGTTTTCTTCCGACCCTGTGGGATCGGGTAAAGGTATACATCTTAACCCAGCGATAGATAATGGCAAGTGAAAAAGCATTAATCATTTGACCAGGAAAGTAAGTCTTAAAAATCCTCAAAGCACAGCTGGCCTTCTGATTTGATCAAACTCATGCATGTGCTAGTTTTGATTGACAGACTGGTCTATTGGCCATGGTGAAGTCAAACAAACACTGGAATTGGATTTCTTTGGAATCTGAAGGACTGGGAGATGTTAGTACAATTTACTGCAGTTGTTAGTATAATTTGCTGCAGTTTATTATTATTTGCCAAACCTACCTTTCAGCGTGAATGACAGAAATTGTCTCATTATTTTCGTTCCTTAAACATAATGTTGTTTGGAATTGAACCACAAAAGTCACCGTTTTTGTTTTCCTTCAACATGTCGGAGAAACATTCAGAGAAACATTTGAATTCAAACTTATTTAAATTAAATACAGATACTAATTATTTACTGTTTACTATTCTCTATCATTTCATGTTTTCCAAGTCCAGATTTTGATTTCCAAACAGCTTAGTCACACATTTTCGACTTCATGTAGGTTTCTTGTTTTGTAGCAAATGAATGATATTCTATTACAATTTACGGCAGTGGTTATCACAATTTACCACAGTGCAGTTATTACAATTTACCACAGTGCAGTTATCACAATTTACCACAGTGCAGTTATCACAATTTACCACAGTGCAGTTATCACAATTTACCACAGTGCAGTTATCACAATTTACCGCAGTGCTGTTATTACAATTTACCACAGTGCAGTTATCACAATTTACCGCAGTGCTGTTATTACAATTTACCACAGTGCAGTTATCACAATTTACCACAGTGCAGTTATTACAATTTACCACAGTGCAGTTATCACAATTTACCACAGTGCAGTTATCACAATTTACCACGGTGCAGTTATCACAATTTACCACATTGCAGTTATCACAATTTACCACAGTGCAGTTATCACAATTTACCACAGTGCAGTTATCACAATTTACCGCAGTGCTGTTATTACAATTTACCACAGTGCAGTTATCACAATTTACCGCAGTGCTGTTATTACAATTTACCACAGTGCAGTTATCACAATTTACCGCAGTGCAGTTATTACAATTTACCACAGTGCAGTTATCACAATTTACCACAGTGCAGTTATCACAATTTACCACAGTGCAGTTATCACAATTTACCACATAGTCTAACAGTGCAGTTATTACAATTTACCACAGGGCAGTTATTACAATTTACCACAGTGCAGTTATTACAATTTACCGCAGTGCTGTTATTGCAAAATACAGCATTATTTCAATTATCGTCGTAACAGAGGTTTTTTTTCCCCCTCCCCGCTTTGAATTGAAGACAACTTTCAATACATACCGGGCCTTCAGGCATTTATTCTTTAAATATTTATTGTGAGGCAGAAAGGTCAAATGATGATAAAAAAATTATAGCTTTAACAGGAGTGTCATCTTAAATTAATTCTGGTTCTTTATGAGGTTGATATTTTCTACACAAATGAATACAGTTTTAGTTTTAGATTTTGAACATTTTATGTCCATTTTCTAAAGACTATTTATGGATTTTACTTGAAGTTGCCTTTTTCCCTTGACAGGTAATATTAAAACCATCCACAAGAAGCGTTCCATCAATTGAATTTTTGAAAACTTTTGGTAAACTGTTAATCTTAATGGTAATCAATGTGACAGACATAAAAATACTGCCTTGTGGCAGCAGATCCTGATTATAATGATCAGACGGTGTTGAACCAACACGCTTGAAATTGCCTGTCAGTTAAAAACTTTGATATAAATTGAGACAAACGGCCTTGCAACCCAAAGTCATGTTAATCTATTTATGTACCTTGTTTCCATGTTGAGGTAGACACTTCATGTTATTTGTTAATAATGGCATCCTTAACAAATTACTCCAACCTGACTAAATGATCAGTGGTTCTATGATTTTTATGAAAACCACAGTGAATATTTGTTATTAAATCATTTGATATCATGTTAATCTATTATTGACCATTTGTTCCATGGTTTTGTAAACACAGTTGGTCAATGAAATAGGTTGATAATTGGAGGTATGGGTATGACCATGTCCAGGCATAGGTATAGGAACAACTATAGCATCTCGCCATGAAGCAGGATATTCTTCTTATGTCCAAATATTATCAGAAGGGTTTCCAAACATGATTGCAGTAAATGTTTTAAGTGTTGATTATGTATGTTATCAGACCCTGTAGCAGTATCATGAGCTTACCCAAGGGAAGTATGAGGCACATGAATGGAAAAGACGTCATTATGATCTTCCCAATTACTGGTGGTACCTTCTGGCCTTTCTTGGGGTAACATTCTGTACTTGTTCTTTGTTTCAGAGGGGTTGAGCGAAGAGGTGTATGAGATGTACTGTAACAGCAAGAAGAAGAGCAAAGAGGACATTGCAGTAGATACTCCAGCATCTGTCAAGGTCATCCTCAACTTCAAGAGATATGTCTATGATCCTCTGAAAGTGATGAAACAATGATAGTTGGTCAAAGATGAGATTCTCTTCATTGATGATATTCATATACTGCCCATTGAATTATTATCACCTTGTATGAAGAAACAAAATCTTGTTGATTAGAGCCACCATATCACAAAGGAAATTCAAAGGAGGTTGCCCTCTGTACAGTGCTGAGCAATAATTTATTTACAGTATTGCACTATTCAATTGTCAGAAATAAGTGTTTAAAAATATTTAAAAACTATACTGTGTCAAATTAAAAACTTCACATTTTTAAAAGTAATCCCATATATGATATACAATGGACAAATGTATCAGAAAAGATAATTTTTAATCATTAATGTCCAAAGAAGGATTTTAATTAATGGTGGTAACCATAATTTGTTCCAAGCACCTACAGTATTCGGTAATAACATCAACAGTTTAAATCATAAGTCCCAAGCACGAGAATCTGATGGCACACAAGTTCAGTAGCGTGTATGGCCACCATGTGCGTTGACAACTGCCACACAACGCCTCCGCATGGACCTTGTGATGCTTGTGAACACATGATTGGGAAGACGACGCCATTGTTGCTGCAAAACATTGCCCAGACTTGCAAATTCTGTGGTTGGTTCTGGAGAGAGCGCAGACTTCTGCCAAGAGCATCCCAGATGTGTTCGATGGGATTGAGGTCGGGAGACCTTGACGGCCTGTCCATGACCTTGACTCCTCCATTTTGAAGGAAATTCCTTGTCAAAATTGCTGTGTTGGGTCTAGCATTGTCGTGTTGGAAGATCAAACCGGGTCCATGTGCTGCCATAAAAGGCAGAAGTTCTGGTGCCAGTATCTGGTCGCGGTAAGCAGCAGCGTTGAGGTTGCCACGGATGACAAGAAGCCTGGAACGTGCATTGCCACAGAAAGCACTCCACACCATGACACTTCCGCCTCGAAATCTGTCAACTTCCTGTACACAACACTGGGCGTAACGTTCATGACGGCGCCTCCACACCCTCGCCCTACCATCAGCAAATCAAAGATTAAATCGGGATTCATCACTGAAGACGACTTGATTCCAATTCCTCTGAGTCCATCGTAAGTGTCGCTGTGCCCACAATTGACGTTGACGTCTATGTAATTGAGTCAGAATGGACCCGCAGTATGGCCGTCGTGCTTGAAGGTTTAGCAGTTCTCAGACGGTTTCGAACAGTTTGCGCACTCAGTCTACCCCTAAACAGTTCATTTCTGGTTGATGTAGCCGTCAAAAATCGGTTACAGAGGTGATGTAAGACAATCTGACGATCCTCTGCATGTGACGTCACACGTGGTCGACCTGGCCGAGGGCGATCAGCGGTGGTACCCGTTTCCTGTAGATGCGTCTGTAAATCATAAACAGTCTGTATACTACAACCCATCGTCCTTGCGACTTCAGCTACGGATGCTCCCATCTGCAACATGCTGATGGCATGTTCACGTTGCACATTTGAAAGGCGTGGCATGACAAATGGCCGTAAAGACTTTTGTTTTCTTGTGTTTTTCTTTTTTTGTTAATGACTGCTAACAAGTATGGCTGAAAACATGTGCGGCATTACGGCCACGTGATCAGTTGCACGTGAAAAAACACTTTTGCCACTATAGTGCTGTGCACATGATTTTGATCGATTCACCTGCACAAAAACGGGTGTTATCTGAAGACAATACGTGGCCATTACTGTTTAAATACACAATAAGGGCCCACAATGATAACTGGTCAAAAATTTTAGGTTTGTGAAGTTTTGAATTTGGTTCAGTATATTAAAAATATACCCCTTTATGGCCTTTATTTCATTTTTACCACAGTATATTTGACATATCACATGGTATTTTACTTTGATGATAACCAGAACCAAAATGTTTTTGTGTGTAAAGAATCATATACATTTATATTTCTATTTTATGTTTCCGGATAAATACAGTATTTCATCACTTGATGCATGACTAAAAGCTTTTTCTCAACTTTGTTTCATTTCATGCTTTATAAATGATTATTTTGATACAGGCAATATTTATTCGATCACAGCATACCATGTTATGCACATATGTAACATAATTATAGAATAACCCTAGACGTAGGATTGAATACAGAGTATATATCACGAGTGACAGATTTTCTGTAGTCACTTGTGCTGCGTTGGTTATTCTGTTTATTACCCATAATCAAAATAAAGACATGTTTCAAGAAAAAAACAAATGGTTGATGATGAAGAATCAGATCAATCTGTGTGTAAAAAAACCACTCACTCCAACCACATTACTCAGTCAACATGTTACGAGTGAAAAATATAGTTTATATTTAAAACCTTTAAAGATCACATTATTGCAGTTATATTTCTCTCTGATTTACACAGTGTATGCTATCTAGCATTGACAAGAGAAGACAAGATTAAAAATATACATCAATAACGTGCTCCAAGTAACATGCACACACGCACTACCTGTGGAACTACCTACATACACACATTCAAAGTTTGAACACAATTGGGCAACTGAGCCAAAGAGAAGCAGCGCTTTCTCAATGGTGTGGCTGTAGACAGATAGTCTTAGACAGTTTCAATACCACTAGTGCTAGCACTAAGCGATTGAGCTTCAGTGACTTGAATGAATGAATGGAGTTTGGTGCTGTACCTGTGGAAAACTCAAACGCAGCCAAAGACAGGAATTCCAGCTCGGCTTTGGACGGGTGCACCAACTCGGCTTGTAGGCCAAGAGCATTAGACAAAGAATAACCACAACCAGATAAAAAATAGTAGATCGCTGCATTTTTCGGGAGACCTCCAGAAAGTCATACTGATACCCCTGGCATTAAGTTCCCCAAGGTTCCCCTTGTGGCATTTTGAAAAGTATGAAGGAAAAATTTGCAATACTTTAATCAAACTGGAAAACAGTAGAAAACATCTCCTTCTGTCAATACAATAGTTTTAATACTTTCTTACTTAATAGGAGGATAGCCAAGTACACTACTATCAAAATCAATCAACTTTTGGAGTAGGAATGATATTAGGTCCCAACGAAATATGTCCAGTGTCATTATATTGTTCATGAGCTGCTGCAAAGGAGTTAAGAGTTGTGTTGACTTGAAGCAGTATATGTATAATGCATGTCTTGGGTCGAGGTATATGAATGCCGCCTTATATCTGCCTGTTAACCAAGATCATTTGTTACACCAACACTGTTGGTGGCAAGTACAGTACGAGTCTCAAGAATTGGTTGATATTCTGAGTAGTTTGTAATCGCAAATGAATATAAGATGCACTCATCACAGATGAGAAATCTTGATGGTGATCTGGTAAATTGTATCTTTGACAACTTAAATATCAATGTACGAATCTCACAGGTCATGGTACTTTGCATGTTGTGGGTGGTATTACATGTGTCAGCACTCCAGGTTCTGAGGCAGTCCAGGCTCTCTCCCACGGTCTACCTGAAGGGTCATGACAGCTGCTTCTTTAGGTCAATTCGGAAAAGTTCCAGTGAAAGTTTACAAAAAAACAAACACATCAAGATTCAAGTCCATCAAGTTTAGGGCTCTTGAACTTTCACTGTCAAATGCACCCCTCTAGAAGTTTGCAAAATGCTTGGAGAGTTGCTCGTTAATAAGTTTCTCACTTAATATACCTGTGTCACAACGTCCATCATGGAGTGGCTTTTTGCACAGTCCATTTGGCTTTGTGTTTCCGCTCAACAGTTGGCTGAAAAGTATTCAGTTAGTATTTGACTTGTCACATTTGACCGGCCTCTCCAAATTTCATGCAGCCAGCCATTTTCCATATGCAAAATTTGCCCACCTCTCTTTACCAAGTGAAACGTTTGATTCATGTCATGTCTCCTGAGCAGTACCACAACTTCACTTACTTTACCATTCAATGAACAGAAAAATCCTGGAGTGGAAACTTCAGTAATCAGGCAACAGCACATGATTTTGTGCAATTGCGGAAGATCTCTGTAGGTGTCGGGTAGCCTAGTGGTTGATGTGTTTATGTGGATCAGGCAATTTCACTTGGTATCCAGTCAGCTTCAGCTTTAACTGGTCACACATACCCAGACATAAAACTGAAGAGGAAAGATTGAGTGACCAGCATTAGTGGTGACAAGAACTACATCACTGTGCCTGGAGTAGGGATAGAGGTGAACTCAACATCATTATTCATGAGGGCCACATGTGTAATAAAGGTTAGCTCTAAAATGGAATCATATCTTCTTCCCCAGTTTCTGAAACACCACCTTCCTGATGTAAACAAGAGTCATCAGAAAGATGCCATAACTCAATATAGTCATTGCTAACTGTGAATATTGACCTTACACAAATTTATTGCACCCAAACACAACATTTGGTGACTTGTCGCCAAAATACAGCATCTTGAAACCAAATTGGGAGAAACTGCATGGAGAAAAAGCTGTAAGCATGCTCCACGTGCAAATACGGCTACTTAACCTTTATACTGATGGGTATAAAAAGTTTGCAGTCCTGCTGCGAATCACTCTCTGATGTTCTGTATACGTGACTCTCTTGATGCCAAGACTGAATGAAGACAGTAGAAACAGAGCCATTGGACGTCTGGAAGCCGGACAAAGTCAGACATCAGTAGCCAGGCACATTAACGTGAGGCAGAGTACCATTTCTCGTCTGTGGCAGCGCTTCAGACTCCACAACTCTACAAGAGATCGACCGAGAAGTGGAAGACCCAGGGTCACAACTGCCACGCAGGAACGCTTCATCCGGGTGTTTCATCTTCGCAACCGGACAATCAGTGCAGCATACACAGCTAACAATCTTCCTGGTCTTCGTAGAGTCTCAGCGCAAACCATCTGAAATCGTCTAAGGCAGCATGGGATACGAGCAATGAGACCATATACAGCGCCCGTTCTGCGGCAACATCATCGTGCACGTCTGCAATGGAGCAGAAATGTTCGACTATGGACCCTAGTGCACTGGAGAAGGATATGGTTCAGTGATGAGTCGCGGTTCCTGCTGTATCGCCATGTTGGTAGGATGCGTGTCTACAGACGGAGAAATGAACGTTACACTCGACACTGTATTTATGAAGTAGACCGATACGGCGGTGGAAGTGTCATGTTGTGGGCAGGCATATCCGTGAATGGTAGGACAGATCTGGTGCACGTGCAGGGAAACTTAACTGCTGTACGCTACCGTGATGAAATCCTTCAACGTCACCTTATTCCCGCCATTGACGCCAGGAGAGAGATTTTCCAGCAAGACCGCATACTGCACGTGTTACCATGGACTATCTTGCCCACAACAATGTTACTGTGCTGCCATGGCCCTCCAAATCGCCTGATCTAAACCCCATTGAACCTTTGTGGGATCT